TCAAACTCTGCCAAAAAGTGAGTTTGGCAGCTGATCAGTAAAACAATCAAGTAATCACGATGATGGAAACAGCTCTAGTTTTATAAAACATACCTACTGGTTTTGTATTTTAGCTTCAGTAAACACAACCACACACTTAGACACCCACACCCTGCACACACGGACCAAACAGGCAGCGAGATGATTGATCCAGGCTGATGTGCCGCCTATGGTGAAGGATCCTCATGTTAAAAATATGTGGCTCATGCTTAATGCTGGTGGAGCGTAAACACTGCAGAGCACGAGCGCACAGGTCAGAGCAGAACACCTCGGACTTACAGAATTACTCCAGCGCTGCATCAGAATCGGCCCGACTGTCCTTCTGACCTTCTCGCACAAACACACAGAAAAACAAACACACAAGCGAGTGTTTCTCCTGAATGTTGAGCAGGATTTACATCTCCTCCCTAAACTGTTTGTTTTACGATTCTGTGTAAGCACTACTGTGCTTTACACCGGAGTTTAAACATCGCCCACATTGAGCCTGGAAAAAGATCCTAGATTTAGGATTTAGGTGCCAACATATCAAACACCGGAGAAGGAAGATCATCGCAGTAGTGATAAAAAGTCAAATGTTATACCTTGAAGAGCACAAAGCTAGAAGGAGACAGTGCTGTGGCCGAGTAATGACAGAGGCATCCCAAGACCGTTAAACCACAAAGCAGAGAAAGGACAGACACTGTATGGTTCATATTTCCAGACACTACACATGCTGTATTAATACACTGGTGGATAAACAAAACCGTTGTTCAATATTCTTTTATGATTCATCCATCAATATAAGGAGCTTCCCTTTTTTCACGCTGATTGGCCAGCTTTGTAAATCAAGACCATTTTCTCTTGAGTCATCCATCACTTTCACATGCTGGGCTTCCACGCACCACATGGCACTACCTGCTCGAACCAGACTGCCAAAGTTGATGAAAGCAAGTGGAAAAGATGACATTAGTCACACAGCTGCCGGGTTGTGACCTAGAAAACTAATCATTGGACAACAGGAAGGAAAAAAAGACTTTAGAGACCACATATGTAGCCAAAGACAGTGGAAACCAGCCACGCAGTTACTGGTACTGACTTCTTTTAGTCTGCTAGTCCACAAGATGATCTAATGATCAGACTGCAGTTTACAGCATTACACACTCGTGTGAAACAACAAGGCACGAGAGCATCGCCTGCCATCACTCGGGGGTTAGTTTACAGTTAGCGAGGGTGTCTTCCTGTCTGTGTGATACATTAGTTATTAGCGACACGTCCTTGTTAAAAGATATGCAGGAGCAGCGTGTCAAACAAACACACGGCGCTCTCTCAGAGCGATGACAGCGGCGATAGATTATGAGGGGGTGAGAAAGAGAGACTGACAGCGGCAGAGACAGAGGGAGGAGGAGAGAAAAGCAAAACAGAGAAAGGTAAACAGCTTTTCTGTGTCTTTCATCAACCCAGTGGAGCTCAGTTCCTCCTGCTGTCAACCACTGGAAATAAATATCAGGCAGGACGAGCGCCAGGTCAACGTGCTCTCTCCTTTAACACATCCAAATGTTGAAGATATTTCCTCTAAAAATGTTATCAGTGTTTAAAAAATTAGTTTGTGTTCAATCTAAACAAGTTTTGCTTTTTGGAGAAAGTTTGAAATGAAAGTCTTTTTGTCACAACTCACTGTTGTTAGAGAGTTTGAACTTTTCTCCTCACAGCGACTCGCCGATAACATAACGCTCTGAAATGATCCTCACACTGCTTCCATTCACGATGTTTCAGCTACAGAAGGAAAATCACGTGTCACAGTTTCGATTAGCTGCCATGTGAAACCAAGACAACAACCTGCCAC